TTTATCAACCGACAACTGACGACAGTTCATTTGAACTGAAAAACTCTCTTAAATTATGGATATCCTAGAAGGTTTACTGACAGAAACATCAAGAGAGAAACCATCCTCAGACAAATCACAGTGCTGAAGAAGACACTGTTTATGAGTTTGATATTGAAAGGTGACACTATTTCTGAAGTAATTAAAAGTCGTTTATCTAAATGTATTAAACAGTGTTTTTACGCAGCTGACTTACATTTATATACAATTGGTGGATGGTGGCTAGCAGTGGAATCCAGGATGCGCTTTTCGTCCTAATTGGGACTCGTCAGCTGGATGTACCTGCATTTCTCAGTGAGTGATGATGTTCCCACCGAGGCTCGGACCCAGTGCCCATAGTTTCAAACGCCAAAGCGTTATCCACTAGACCGAACGAAATGCGCATCCTGGATTCCACTGCTAGCCACCATCCACCAATTGTATACAAATCAAATCCCCAGACATCGTCGAAGCATCTGCACAAGAAGCCGACATGTCAACCTGAGACCGAACACTTCGGTCCAATCAATCGACGGGAAAATCAAAAATTCAATTCAATGACTTACATTTAGTATTTACCAGTCGGAATATGATTCGACAATGCGTCAATGATAAACTACCGATTATGTCCACGTCTATGTGCACATACTCATTCACATGCTCGTGTGGAGCTGATTATATTGGACATTGTAAACAGGTTCTCCAGAAACGCGTAGCTGAACACTACCCTGTTCGGTTAATGAAAGGTGGGAAAAGAATGACAAAGTATTCAATCTGTGAACACCTTTTAAAGTTAGGTCATTCAGCTCCACGTGATTTATCCTTTCAAGTTATCTACAGGACTAAATCCAATCACTCCAAAAGCTTACGTCTCCTCCACTTATGCACAGCCAACCGAAGCTCCAGCTGTACATGGACAGAAACCTAAATTATGTGTTCAAAACGTTTCGGTCAAACCCTTTCTTTACCTTAGTCATAGTAATGTTCTTTTGTATTATTTTTTATCTTACCGCTTGAATTCATTCCACTTCACTTGACCTTCACCGTCTTTTGTAAAAAATTATATTTGTAAAATCTCAGCGTGATTGAAATAAATAATTCCAACGTTTCCTGTGTTCGGAAATCTGATACGAACTTCTTCAGGAAAATTAATCGAAATTAACATAACAGAGGTTTATATATTAAAGCAACATCTCTTGTTTTTAAAAAACTTTCTCCAATCATGAGTATCAAAAAGTATAATAAACAAAATTGTGTGATCTGTGATCAGAACTTGACCTAGGACTTACAAATATTGATCTACCTTTGTTAAACACTTTAAACATATTATGTATGTGTGTGTGTGTGTGTGGGTTAAATCCGTAAAATATTTCTTGATGTCTTCATAAGAAGATATAGACAGTTGGGAATTTTGACCAAGTATTATTAATTAGTGATACATATCCATTTTTTACGAGTTGATCACGGATTGATATCAGTTACAGAACCATTGAAAACCAGGGAGTGCTGGACAGCTGCTGTTTCATCCTAGTTTGGGAATCATCGTCAGTACGCACCCACTGAGATTCCAGCCCAGACATTCCGGTTACAAGGCAAGCTCGTATACCATTCAGCCACTGGGACCCGATTCAATGGCTCGTGAATTCTAACTTCTACCAATTCGTGATTTAGCGCGACCCCAACCATTGTCGTTGGTGGGACATCCATCCACACACGTGACATCTAATTGGACCTCACTGGTCACGACTTCTCACTAGAACTCAGGAAACTCCAACCTGTAGCAAGTCACTAGTGAGCATCAGATTAACTTTCTATAGTTTGGTTTGTAAGGATTAGTTATGTTTTACGAGTTGGGGTCGCGCTAAATCACGAATTGGTAGACGTTAGAATTCACGAGCCATTGAATCGGGTCCCAGTGGCTGAATGGCATACGAGCTTGCCTTGTAACCGGAAGGTTCTGGGTTCGAATCCCAGTGGGTGCGCACTGCCGATGATTCCCAAACTAGGATGAAACAGCAGCTGTCCAGTACTCCCTGGTTTTCAATGGTTCTCTAACTGATATCCATTTTTATTTATTAATCAGGATTTTTCTATGCATCAGCTATTCACACTGTTAGTACCTAGAATTTTATGATTAGACGTATTTTCAAAATTATGGTGTTTCGGATTAGTGTTCAGTTGAAGCACCCTGTCAAACTTATTACTTTGTCTTCTTTCTGAAAATTGAGCTGCTTTATACGACCTACTGGAGTTGTCAGTTGACTGGACAGCTACGGATTTAGGATGTGCATTCTGTTGCAGACAACGGAGAGTGGAAACACGATGATTGTGTCAATTACACATAGTTTCTTTGTTAATTTAATTCGATTGCAAAATAATTCCAATGAACTGTCTATCGTCAAGATTTGATAGAATAGTGTTCTAAAATATATGGGCGCTGAGTGAGAAGTAGATATTTATAAATAAACTATATCTGTAAATTCTTAAATATAATTTTTTACAAATGTTTTTTTTTAGTTCTATGTCGACTGTATCTACGCACCAAATTTTCCGAATTCTGGAGCATGGAGAACGCACAAAATTTCTCTTCCTATCCACTGGTATCCAAATGTTGAAGTTAGCCTATTGTGTCATAAATGTCGGCTTTCGTTGAATCGACTTTTTTTTAACGTGCCATCATCTTTCCTATCTAACATCACATCTAAGAAGTGAAATGCGGTAATCGACTGTTTTTCGATAATGGAAAGTATAGATGGGTGAGAATCATTAAATTCTGTAAGAAGTTCAGCAGTTGAACGATTGTCATCACAAATAATGAAGGTGTCATCAATATATATATATATATATATATATATATATATATATATATATATATATATATATATATATATATATCGTTTATACATATGCAGATTTGAGATTGTTTTTTCCAGTGGTCCCCTCTCCAAGTTTCGCCATAAAGAATATCCATCAAGAGAGGTCCTGATGAAGACTCGAAGGTGACTTCATCCCCAGGATTACAAATGACATCTTTAAGTCTAAACTGCATGTTAAGCGTGCATCTCAATTAAAGGTGCTTCAGCTAATTGATTGTCACTCCAATGTTTATGCATTTTGGGTCGATGTAATGACACAGATAACAAATAGTCTCTACTAATGGTATATTTGTAAATAAAGAGCAAACATCAGTCACATTAATTCCATTGAAACTGAGCTGACGAAGTCAAAAGTTTCTGAAAGACCATGTTTACATACATTCGATCAGCTAGCCATTTTGCTGTAGAATGATAAGGAGAGTTCATCATATTCTGATATAGGTTGCAGAAGGATACTATCTTTACGCACCTAAAGAAGACCATATAAGCGAAGGATGGCTGAACCAGACAGCTTGAGATATTCATACCTATACGGAGTCACATTAGATTCGTCCTTCAAATGTATTTTTCATTATGAGTTAATGGGTATATTCCACATTTTTCAAGATTTGTTTTTAAGAGTTTGACCACGGATTGATATCAGCTGGAGAACCACTGAAAACCACCACAAGGGAGTACTGAACAGCTTTTTCATCTTAGTTTGCGAATCATCCACAGTACGCACCCACCAACAGGGTTCGAACCCAAGGTCTTCCAGTTAAAAGGTGAGCTCACAGACCATTAAGCAACTGGGACCGAATCCAGTGGCCAGTACATGAATTCTAACTTCTACTGATTCGTAATTTAACACGACCACCATCTAATGTCATCGACCGTATACGAACTTGCCTTGTAACCGGAAGACCTTTGGTTCAAACCCTGGTGGTGGGTGCGTACTGCCGATGATGATTACCAAGCACTAGGATGAAACAGCTATCCAGTACTCCCAGGTGGTGGTTTTCAATAGTTCTCTAACTGGTATGAATCCTTGGTCAAATATGTGAAAACATATTCCACAATAATTTTTAAAACAAGTTACCGGACTAAACTTTCAAGTATTGGTTTTTGTAGGGATTTTGTTCGATTGCATGGAGGATTGAATCATGAGCTGACATCAGTTAGAGAACCACTGGAAAACCTGGGAGTACTGGACAGCTGTTTCGTCCTAGTTTGGGACTCCTCAGCAGTACTCACCCACCGAAGTGGTCGCGCTATGTCGTGAACTGGCAGAAGTCAGAATTCAAGGACCATTGGATCGGGTCCCAGTGGCTCAATGGTCTACGAGCTCGCCTTGTAACCAGAAGGTCCTGGGTTCGAATCCCGGTGGGTGCGTACTGCTGAGGAGTCCCAAACTAGGACGAAACAGCCTTTACAGTACTCCCAGGTTTTCCAGTGGTTCTCTAACTGATGTCAGCTCATGATTCAATCCTCCACGTTACCGAACTAAATTCATTATTCACAAATCATCTGCACAAGAAGCCGAAATGTTAACCTGAGACCGACCAATCAATCGACGGGAAAATCTAAAATTCATTTGAATAATTAATATGACCCGTTGCACAAGGGGTGGCTGTCATGACCCAAGTGGTCCTGTGGATAACGATTTGGTGTTTGAAACTATGGGCAACTGGGTTTGAGCCTCGGTGGGAACATCATCACTCACTGGGGAGTGCAGGTACATTAAATTGACGAGCCCCAACTAGAACGAAATGCGCATCCTGGATTCCACTGCTAGTCACTATCCTCCAGTTAAATTCAACTGGTTTAATTCCTATTCTCCCACCTCCACCACTATAGTTATAATTAAAATTTCAAAAATAATTATTAAAGAACCTATCAAACACATCATGGGAACTATAATATAAAATACAATATGCATACAACTATTTTATTCACCCCCTAAACTGTCTTTTGGATATCCAGTAATCTTACTGCCTGTCCATTGGAATTTCGCCAATGCCATAAGAATCAGCCAATCAGAATTCAGCTGCATTTTGATTGGTTCAATCCGTGACAATGTTTCATCCATTCGATTCTAAAGTCAAGGCAGGGGGAGAGGGTACTTTTATGTGGATGGGAAATTATTATTTTCACTATTTTCTCGGATTTAACATTCCATCAATTCAATTTATCAATGTTATTGTGATGGAATTATTTAATTTAAATATTTATACTCAATTACTTATCAGTTTGACATTATCCTTCCGCATTGGATACGTTTATTCCTTACCATCAACAGATTTGTTGAAACATACTCCTCACCAATCTTTGGATCGTTTAGCTACATTCTCGTTGAAATTTTTAGAATTTCATAATCATGCTCATCGTCGTATTGATGGAAGCTGTTGTGGTCGACATAAACAGACATCACCTAAATCATCAACATCCTCATCCTCCTCGTTCTCGTCCAGCTTATCGTCCACATCTGTGATGGATATATGTAAAGCGGAATGTGCACTAGAATTTCGTATTTGTATTGAACCGTACACAGTAAGCGTGCCAATGAATAGTATAGAAATCTATTCTGGTCCATGTTTATATGGGGAGACACGTACTGGTCATTGGGGGAATACAGATATCACTTATGAATTACTAGAAGCAAGTATACACACAATTGGAATTACACGTTCATGGCCGGTAAGTTAATGAGATCGTTATTCAGGCGTTGATTTGCAGAGATTTGAATTTGTTTGGTTTCAGGAGTTATCATGAGATGACATCAGTTAGACAAGTATTGGAAAACCAGCTGGGAGTAGTGGACAGTTGTTTCGTCCTAGTTTGTGACTCTTCATCAGAATGCAACCAGTGTAGGGGTTAGAACACAGGCTTTGCTCTAAAGATTTTTGTATCACGAGTTCGAAAAAGTCAAAATTCAAGGTCTGGCCATTAAATCGACTCCCAGTGGCTGAATAATCCACAAACTCGCCTCGTAACCGAAAGGCAATCAGTTTGGACCCTGGAGGGTGTGTAGTGATGAAGAGTTGCGAATTTGGGCGAAACAGTTGTCCAGTATTCCCTAGTTGTTTCTAATGGTTCTTTAACTGATTTCATCTCCTGATCAATCCTGTAAATCGTCTTTACAATAGTGATAGGTATAATGATAATAATTTTCGATCCATAGATATTCTTTTCTTCAATATATTTGAATAATTCCCACTGTTACATTAAGGAAACAATATCCACATAAGAGGTTATTTTCAAGGATTAATGGTTGAATGAATAAACTTCATTGCTGACATGTTTGATTACGAGTTGATATGAGTTAGGGAACAATTGAAAAACTAGCGGGGAGTACTACATAACATCCTCGTCCTGATTTAATAAAATAACTACTATTATTATTGTTTCCTTTAATTCATAGAGTAAAATATAGGGCTTCAACCAAACGTCTCCATTGCATTCGGTTCTCTGCCAACCTTTTCACCTGACTCCACATCTGCCCACATGCTCTCATCTACTCTTCACATCACCTCATCCATGTCACACCACCCTAGCATTGACAACCAACTCTCCGTTTCCCAAGCGGCTTCCACTCCAGTGATGACCTGGTGTTGTATCACTCAATTGATGGTTTGTTTTCTCAGAGTATGGTCAGCCAATCCACATTCATTTCTTTCTGCACATTTCATGCACAACTTGTTCCTGATGGGTTGGTTCGCTCCCCAGAGATTCCTACCTATTGCTCATCTTTTCCGACCGGCCATCTGCCTTTGAGCGAAGTAGTGAGTGAAGACAGCTGATGATAAAAGTCTGTAATTTGTTCGAAGTGGCTTTCGTGATGTGCTGGCCAAGTCTCTCATCCGTACAGTAGGTAGCACTGACTTCACACTGGAGTTGAAAATTCATTTCTTATTTTTCATGCTGAGTGCTAAGTGTTGATCCCCTCCACACAGACCAATAATACAAGTAATAATAATAATAACAGCCCTATTCCAAACAGGGCTTTTGGTACAAATATGGAATTTTCAGCATGTAGTAATGTACTGATTCTAATTTCCTCATTACAAGGGTCCAAATATTAACAGCAATGATAATAATGAAAAAAAGAATAAAGAGGCCAGTTAACTTAACGTTTCACAGTAATTTACTAATCTCATGCCTTACTAAACTTTTTTCATCACATAAAATATGTATGCCTGCCAAATAAGGTATTGTAGAGTTTTTGCACTTACAGTCTTCTATAGTCGCTCCTAGTTCCCCAACACACACACACACCTCATGAGGTATAAGGAGATAATTGTGCATAGAGAGGGGCGCCCAAAGTCCAACACGACAATATTCTCTAATTTACTGCATGAGTTTATGTGTCCACTATCTACAGCAATATTGGCGTGCTGGTTTACCGACACCCCACCCACCTTATTGACAGCTTTAAGTGGACTTCGCAGCGTATTTTTCTCTTTCTGAAGTAGCCCAAGAAAGATTAAGTGCCAAGGAGCAATAAAGAAGAATAGGTCAAATACTGTAAGAATAAACAAACTGTAAACGTCGAGGTTTGAGTGGTGATACCAGATTGTCTTAAATTCCTTATGCAAGACGTTAGAATAAATGTCCTTCTAGAAACTAACATGATGTGAGAAGACTAGAGAAAGTGATCCGAGGAAATAGACAATCCAAGGCATGTATTTAACATTCGACTTAGTTTCAACTTCATTGCTATCAATGATACTAGAATCATGAGAACTAACCAGTCCATGTAGGTGGCGCTTGTATCTGAGAGTAAAATTAACAACTTGACATTTGGAGGGATTTAGCTTGTGACCACTTGATAAGCACCACTGACTAGTTTTTCATAAAAAGTTATTCATTTTGAAACAGTCTAACTGAGAATTGACCGCCAGAATAGAAAGAGTCCGATCATTGGAATACTTAACAAAACTGGCTTCAACAGGATTGGAAAGGTATGTCATGTGAGAAGAAAGAAAACAGAAAAGGAGAAAGAACAGTGTAACAACAGAAGACAAGGGCCAGTCAACAGATCGTTTATTAAGGGAATCAACACATATTTATAGATTTTCATGTACATTATTATAGATTACTGTTAGCAGAAAGACACAGTTTTCTGATTGGTTGTTTCTCACAGAAAGTTAACATTACATCTCTTTGTGGCTGTTTCTTCAATGTCAGATCATCTATATGTTAACTGTATCCGCCTACGCAAAGCCTTTGTTCTTATTTTTCTCACGACTAATATTGGGGACATAAACATTGACGTGAATTACTGTCAACCAATTTTGACTAACAGCCAGCTCTCACTACAACATCAGTGGCTGATAAACACCAGCTAGAGTGAGGGAAGCAGTGGACGACTTCCCATCATATACAATGTACTACTCCCTGTTAGAAAAAAAAATAACCCACTACTGTGCTTGTGACGCAGCAAGCTCGTTTAACAAAAGAGGCCTAGGTGCAGAGAGTAAGGCAGAGGTGTAATCAGGACATGTACACCGAACATATTTGGCACCTCTGTCTAAACTAGAGACAATATTATAATACAAGAAAACAGTGGCATCTAAAGTACACTAACCATTTTTATAAGCAAATTGATTAGGGTTGTTAAAAGCCTTCTATTATGAAGGTTCAAGGTTAAGTAAAAGCAGCCTTTCCATTATTTGTTTTAAAAAAGGTGAAATAATGGCAATAGGTCTTAGCTTAACACCTGATTCACTTAATGATTTAGTCAGAGGAACAATTTTAGTAGAAAATGATTCATTGAAAATACCGATGATGAGAAGAAGACATAAAGAGATGACCCACATTTTTTGAAGATAATAGCCGGTACACCATCTAGACCAATCGACTGGATTTCAAGGTTTCAAGGACTAAAGACAGTCGAGAGTGTCATCTGTGTGAAAATCAGAGGAGCAGTTATTCTTTGCACTTGTATTATTTGTGACTCGTCAGTGGTACACTTCCACGGGGATTCGATCAAATAGCCTATGAATTCCAACATCTGCCACTGGCTAGCGGTTAAACAATATATATATATATATATATATATATATATATATATATATATATATATCGTTTGTCTGTCAACACCCTTTCTGTTTACAACTCTCCCTGCCCTATAGTATCTCATCAAGTAGTACTAGAAGTCACTCGTGCTGTGGTGAGAGCAGGCTGCTAGCCGAATTGGTAGACACTTATTTATGTCAATGTGTATGACCCAAATATTGGTCATGAGAAAATACGAACAAGACTGATTCAACAACCAATCACAGCAGAATTTGCGTAGGCAGATATAGTTAACATATAGATGACCTGAGATTCAAGAAACAGTCACAAAGAGATGCAAGGTCAACTTTCTGTGAGAAACAACCAATCAGAAGACTGTTTGTTTACTTGAATAAGCTATAATTAATGTACATGAAAATATATAAATACGTGTTGATTTCCTTAATAAACGATCTGTTTGGCTGGCCCTTGTCTTCTGTTGTTACAGTGCAAGTATAAAAACTCAACGATACCCTATTTAGCCTGTGTTCTGTGTTATGGATATAGTGTTAACGTGAAACTCACAGCTTTCTATGTAATTAGCATAAAAAATGGCTCAGTTATTCCCCTATATTTGTAAATTGATGGTGATACTCACTATCCCCATTATCTTATAATTTCGTATTATCAATACAATTATTATTATTATTATTGTTCTTATCATTTTACATTTGCATACCATTTTGACTCGAATGTTTCTGTTAATGCCTCAAGTTGATGGATGTTATCGATTTCGGTGGCACAGCGGTTAAGACGCTCGCCGACCATGCACATGGTCCGGGGTTCGATCCCTGACCACCGACGTACTCCCAAACCTCTCTAAACCAGAAATAATCCTGGTAAAGAGGAAAGGTTGGGCATGAGGTGGCTAGCAACCCCATCCTGTAACAAATAATCACCACTGCTACAGAAACTTCAAGCCACTAGTTTGAGGCCCTATGTTCCACTGGGGACGTGAAGGAATGGAAAAACTAGATGCGATATTGTACAAAACACTGAGAATTGCACACACTGCATTCATAAGTACTGTTTCGGAATAAGGCAAATTATTGTTGTTATTATTATTACTATTATTAGAATTATTATGATTATTTCCTTTAATTCCTAGAGGAACATAGGGCTTCATTTACACGTCTCCATTGCCTTCGGTTTTCTACCAACGTTTTCACCCCGCTCCAAATCTGCCTACACGCTTTCATCTCCTCTTCACATGACCTCCTCCAAGTCACCCTTGCACTGACGACCAACTCGCCACCCGCTTCCCTTTCCATCGGGTTCCACTCGAGCGATGGCTTGTCTAGTGATGTCACTCACTTGATGGTTTCCTCAGAGTATGGCCAGCCAATCCATCTCCATTTCTTACTGCCTATTTTTTTCACAATCCGTTCCTTCTGGGTTGGTTCTCTCATTGCCATAGATGCCTGTCGCTGATCTTCTCTGGCCAGCCATCTGATCTTGAGTATTGAGCGAAGACAGATAGATGTTGATGAAGATCTGCAGTTTGTTTGAGATGCTCTTTATGACGCGCTGGTCAAGTCTCTGATTCGTACAGTGAGTAGCGCTGACCTCACCTTAGTTACTCTGTGACATTAATTTCAGTAGTATCTATAGGATATGTTAATATGATATAAGGGAATACA